ACTTTGATTACCTCTGCTTTTATTAGAAACCATAAACAATCTCTTATATAGATGTAACAACATAGATGACAAAGTGGTAAATAACCAAGTCCAAAACTAACAAGAATTCGTGCAAATAGAAATGCAAACGAACTAGGAAACCTTCAATGAGTCGACTCATGACTGAGATAAGTCGACTCGTCCGAAACTGGACAAAACACAAAACCAGCAATGAGTTAACTCATGACTGAGATGAGTTGACTCGTTAGAGACTAGTAACAAATGGTTGGATTTCGTGAGTCGACTCATGACAGGCATGAGTTGACTCAACCTGATGAGTCAACTCATGACTGTTATGAGTCGACTCACGGGCTAAAAACTGGATGTTTCGAAAACTGGATGCTTCGATTCTTCGATTCGCCGTCTCGTTCCACGCTTCAACCTGCATTCTATTGTGCTGTTTTACACCTCTATTCTTAAGCTACCATGAGAATCATCTATCCTCAAGCTCCCATGAGAATCACTAAGTTCCGAAGAGAAGATACGCCCGTATCAATTCTGGGTATAGAACCTCTCGAATGAATCCAGCTCTTAGGAGTCGGTCGACTTCATCAATGGTTGCCTTCTCCCTCTTGGGGTTGAGATGTATCTTCTTTTGTAGAACTGGCTTAGTGTGCCGATTCACCATGAGCTCACGGTTCATCACTTTTAGAGGAATCCCTTGTATATCTTCTGATACTCAGGTGAATACATTAGTGTTCGCCAATAGGAATGCAATCATATCTCCTCTTTGAGGCTCAACGAGGCTGGATCCGATATAGACCTTCTTCAATCCTTCATGGACGATCGGTATTTCCTAAAGCTCTTCAGTGGAAGTCATCCTCTCTCGTTCTAATGCTTTCACTATCTAGGACAAGCTTTTTCAATGGGTAGGGTCTCTTGCACTCCTTTTCCCTTTGTCGAGAGTAGATAGTAGGATCTGGCTTCTCATTGGTTGCTTCTATCCACGCAGACTCCTTCTGGGGTCAGGAATTTTATCATCTGATGATATATGGAGGGGACGGTCTGCAAGAGATGGAGGGCAGTTCTACCCAATATGACATTGTGGGTCGATTTGATATTTATCACCACATACTAGACCTGAACGGTGGACTGTCGGGGGTACTCACTGACCATTAGGAGGAGTGTGCATCCCCTCCGGTTGGAGTGCATGCCCCGTAAAAACGATGAGCAACTCTGGACAAGGTTGTAATTGAGACTTGTCGATTCCCATCTAGTTGAAGGCATCGACATACAGGACATTGACCGAGCTTCCCATATCGACCATGATCCTTTTAACTTGGAAACCGTCGATCCTAGCCATAATGACAATAGGGTCACCATGAGGCGTCTCAACATCTTTCAGGTCTGCATCGCTGAAGGAAATAGGCTCTTCTGCTCTCAGCTTCTTATCACACATGTTCACCTGCAATGTTTGCTTAGCATATCTCTTCTGAGTGTTATTAGATGATCCTCCAGCTATGGGACCACCGCTGATAGTGTTGATGACCCCTTTTGGCTGGGCTCGGAGGGTCGACTATCAGGTGGCGGTTGGGCGAGGCAACCAGGAATAAGGCCTCCTGTCGGTTCCTGTTGGGGTGGCTTCCCTCCTATCTCTCGGGGAGATTAACTTCTTGAGATAACCTCTCTGTATCAGGTCCTCGGTATCACTTTGAGGGATTCAGCAATTATAGGTGAGATGACCATCATCTCTATGGTATCGACAGTACTGTCGAATGTCTCGATTGCGAGGATCTGAATTCATTCGAGGAGGGGCAGAATTGAGATATCCCTTCTATTGAACCATATAAAGGGCATCAATGAGAGAGGTGTTAAGGGTTATGAGGACTAGTTTGGGCAGTGGTTCCCTCTTTCGGTCCCTCTTGTCAGACCGATTTGGGCAGTAGTTGACTCTGGGGGGATGGCTTGCCGACTCATGTCTGGGAAAGAGATCCCTAGCTATCTCCCATACTGGTTCAGCTACTTAGGTTTTTACGGTGGCCATCGACGTGGCTAG